CAGCCTAGCAGCACGATCCCGACTCGGCGCGAAGGAAACGCCGAGTCAAAGACAGTCAACTTGCCGAGGGCTGATACCTCGATNGCCCAGCCGGTCCAGCCATTGAACCGCCTAGCACGGCAGTGTGACTAACCAAGCCAAATCCACCCGGCGAACCATGAACTCCCCGCACTGGGGCCCCCCGTCCCCAGCACGGGGAGTGGGGGGCAATTGATGGAGGACAATTTGGCTCAACCCCATGAACCCAAAACACGTGCGCATGACCTGGCTTGGTGAACAGTCCAGCCTAGCAGCACGATCCCGACTCGGCGCGAAGGAAACGCCGAGTCAAAGACAGTCAACTTGCCGAGGGCTGATACCTCGATGAGTCAGTCCCTCGCCTAGCTCGGAGAGCCCGGGCTCTCCCCTAAGGGACGCCAAGCTTCTACCCACCTGGGAGGGAGCACCTCGGTGCTTCGAGGCAGGGACCCATCTGCCCTGAAGCACCCCAGCTTGTGGTAGCTCGGCGAGCCGCATGAGGGAAGGCAGGAAGATCTCCTGCCCGATCGCCGTACCAAACAAATCTGGTGACAGCAGTCGTGTCTCTCGTCAGGCAGCGTCGTACCTGCCACCTTTAGAAGGTGTCCTACACCTGACAGACACGTACCCAGCGGTGACGGCCCCGCGCGTGCCACCTCAGCCTTGCCAATAACGGCTACGGCAGGTTGGCAGTGACGGTTATACCCGCCCTGTCAGAGGCCAACGGGGAGAGGTAACAGATTTCTGCTATAAGGAGTTTAGCATCAAGGGGGGAGAGAGATTCATCTACGGTACGCGCGCTATCTTCACTCTTAGTTTTCATATTCCTCCTTGCTTCTCCTACCAAGTACTGACTTAATCATCGGAGTGTTCCCGTCGGGTAACTCCCTCCGGGAATTTTCTTCTTCTCAGGTATCTTCCAGGAGCCACGTGAGCGCCAACTAGGAGTGACCGGATCGCGCTACATCAGTTAGTGACCCATTGATTTGGGTGGTCAAATCATTAACCTGTTTGATTTAGACAACAATTTCTGATTTTTTAAATTATAATAAATTATCTATTTGAACTGAATGGTCAAACCATTGACCCAAAACTGGTGGCCAAAATGGTTCTGGTTACTGATTGATTTTTAAAACATTGATTTATATCATCTTTCACATTTTGTTATGTGCAAGGTAGTTTTGGAGGAAACATTTTTTTTTTTTTACGTTTCTTCCACTTCTAATTTCTCATACGGTGTCTATCTAATGGTGTTGATGTACATGAAACAACAATAAAGAATTGTACCTTGAATTTGTGTGCAAAATTCCCTATTTTCCCAAGTGCTAATACCAAAATCAAGTACAAACATTGCCACTTTAACCAACTATAGTACCAAAAAGAACCTACTGGCTAATTTAAGACAGCAGTTTGAGTTCTCTTCTGCTGCAATTCTTCCTACCTTAGCACCAATTCTTTGGCCATTTTGGCATTCATCCTCTTTTGAGGGGATAATCTACAGGATCCAATGATTGAGCTATTTACTTCATGCCTCAAACGATAACCTCAAGCTAATTGCTACATTGTTTGATAATGATACTTGTTGATCCAATATTGTGTCCATATTGGGAAAACTGTAATTACTAGCATGCAAAATTACTAATGTTCTATTTGTTTATAATGCACTTTTATTTGCACTGATGCAAATATAAGGAAATAAAAATCAGAATAGTATTTATTATTTAATGCTGGTTCACTTCTGCTTTGAGTTTCGTTTTAATTTGCTTCAAATTTTATTTTACTTCATTTACACTGCAAACAAATAAAATAAAGTGAAATGTAAAACGAAAATAAACTAAAAATCAACTTATTTGCAGTCCCATACTTCTCTGCACAGGTACAAATGAAATTACATTGAAAACAAACAAGGCCTAATGGACAACACGATTTGTTGATTTGTTGAAGTCTAAGAATGGTAGATCATCTTTGTAGTCCAACATTGAAATACCTAATTTAATTTTCCTCATTAAAATATACCGTTTTAGCCTTTTAGATTGCTATCCTTTGGGAAACCATAAAGGACCACTTGGTCCGGAGTTCGGATCACCTGCCAACAAAACACGTTGGAGCGTGTTTTGGATCAGGTCCATAGGGCTGGTATCTAGGTCCTTTGTCTTTAATTTCCTTTTACAATGGGGACTGACCTAGTGGGGGTAGATGTGTTAAAAGAAGAAGGTGACACTCACATCTGCTATTGAAAATTCAGAAAGACAAGTTGCTGATCCATGTTTCAATGTCACTTGGATAATAGGTTGATACTTCTATTTTTTATTCATAATTTTATAATTTGAAATAGTGATTAAGGATCCAAAAGAACTTTGATTGATGGAAGTAATAAGAAATGATTTAATCACCTATAATATAACAATCAATATGGCACAGAACAGAAAGACGAAACAAGATTCATGCAGTCAAGCCTATATAATTGAAACAAGGCTTAGATGATGATGATGACCAGCCATTGAAGTTTGTTGGTTGTCTGAGTTACAAAATTATTTAATCTGTAATTGTAGTTGTAATACTACATTACATCCATATGGTAAGATTTAGGCTTCATTTAGATAAGCTTTTGCTTAGACTCTGTTTGTTTGAATTACAAATGTCGTTTATTTGACATACATAACTGTATTGATTAAGAGGGTGGATTTGTTTTTTTTTGACAGCTTTGTGTCGTTTCAAGACTGTATTAATGTACCATTTTTTGGATACAAAGTTGTGTTCTCCTGACTGACGATGTAAATAGGCTATATGTTTGTGTCGTTCTTGTGACCAAATGAAGAACTATTGGTTGCCGATCATGGCATGGTCATCGCCATCTCCAATCACTACATTCTGCCCCCCAATAGTAACTTCTCACCCCATCTCCGTTCATGGCATGGTCATTGTCTGTTGCTGATCAGGTGGCATATTCCTTTGTTCATCTCCTCTTGTTGCATCAATGTCAATCAAACACCACCAAATTTGTATGCACATTTACCCCGATCCCAAACAAACAAGAAGAGTGCAAAAACGGTCTAAAGATGTGAAACGATTTTGCATTCATGAACCGAGAAGATGGTAAATATGTAGTGTACATATTTGTTTTTGCATCGCAACCAAATGCAGCCTTATGAGCTTTAAGCTGTGAGAAGTAAAAATGAGCCAAAAAGTGTTTTAAGGCTTGGTACGAGACTAAGAATTATTTTTAAAAACATAATAATCTAAAGTCAAAACACTTTTAAGCTTCAAACTACAAAACCATGGAGTTTTTTCAAACGCAACCTTAATTTGATTCATAATTTCATTTTTAGGGAAATCTTGTTGTCCACAGGCTCCGTTTGGGAAGAGTGCAAATGCAGGTTCAGTGCATACATGCACTCCAGTTCAGTTTTGCTAGTGTTTGGCAAGAATATATTTGTGCATTGACAATGATAGAAAATACAGTTTTCAATACATGTTTGCATCCAAAATGAGAGGAAAGTTTACATAAAAAAAGTTGATATACATTTAACTCAAAGTTGATCAAATGTTAAAAACGCATATTTCTGCCTTGAGATTCGTGTTTGCATCCATTACCACTAAAAATCACTTGACAAAAAAAATAAATTTATCACTGTAAAACTAAACCAACTTTACATTTGTATAGACCAAAATGTACTCTATTATTTGCATTTGCTCTCTATTTACACTCTTTCCAAATGGAGCCTTCACTTTAATTAGCTTTGATATCCAAGCTTCAGGGCAAAAACGTTTTATATTATTTATGGCCGACCTCGACCTATTTGCAAATATTCTAGTTGAATAAGCTGTTAAATTAAGCAGTTTCTCTCTAACCCTTCAAAATTATATGTAAATTGAGTCGTTGAACACAACTCAACTAAATCCCCAAGTCTACTTTTTTTCATGGCCAATTAGTACATTTTGATGTGATTGATGGGTCCGTGAATAATTAAGGGGCCACAAATATTGCCCAGCCCACCAATTCCCTTAGATTTTGCAATCTTGATTTCCAAAATATTGATCTGAGTTCGGGTAGTCATGCCTCATTCTTACCCAATTCTTGTCGACCAGGTCCGGTCTTTCTACCAAGAACCTCTGAACCTAACCTACTTGCATTTCTTATATGTTCTCTCCATGGATGGCATGTCAACCCGTAAAATACAACCGAGTCTGGTCGGGTTAAACCTTTTTCAGACTAATCCGTTTTCTTCCCAGGCACAGAGAATAAGGGTCTGTTTAGTGTGTTTTTTCATGCGGTCTTTTGTTTGTTTATAAGTTGGAAAGACTAAAATTCAGTCTATTTCAATTTGACATACAGAAGGTCTAGCCGTCAAAAGATGGGGCACCGAAAAGATGCAAAAAACCTATTTTGAACTAATTTCGGGAAGCTCTAAATGAAATTTCTTGCGTCTTTCGAATTTTATTCAAACACAGAAAGACCTAAAACAATACACTCTCAAAAAGACTTGCCAAACGGGCCCTAAATTAGTGGTTCGTGGGAAAAGCAAGAATACCCTTTTTTTTTTTTTTAGCGAAGAATCATTAGAGAATTGATCTCGTACGAAGGGAGATATATCACACATGCCTTGCCTTCGCCTAGAACAGTAACGACGTATAGACAAGGAAGAGATGCTTTCCCCTTTGCAGTTCCAAGAAAAATCAAATGGGCCAGAAACTAACATTGACCAAATAGCTAGCAATGCCGTCCTCCGCACACCCTTTAACAGAATCAGATTCTGCAATATATAGAAAAGAGAAGAATCCTGACAGAGAAACGTCAATAACCCATTAGCCTTTTTTTTTTCTTTCAAATTCTATTAGTGCCTTTCCTATCGTCTTTTCTATCATCGAATCAACCTGTCCTCGTCCCGGCACCCGCGTCCAGGCGAGATCAGCCGCCTCGCCACTCAGCCTCTTGTCAGCTTCATGTCACAAAGGGCAAGTTCCGGTTGCATTTCCTTCATCTGTTCCTTTCCTGACTTGCATGATTCCATCAAAACTAGTTAGACAATTTCTTTTTCCTTTCAGATTAATGCTGTGATGGGTGTTTCATGTTTTCTGCTACTTTGCAGCTTTTCTGCATGGTGATGAGGGTCCATATGGACTGCAACGGTTGCTACAGGAAAGTAAGGAGAGCCCTTCTCGATATGCAAGGTGAGGTGCCTTTTTAGTAGGGAGGATTAAATTTAAGCCTCCAAAGATGGGTTCTGTTCCAGATAAACTATTGGTCGAGTCTCACATGAATACTTTCTGTTTGTTTTGTTTGGAATTCTGATTGAAGAGCTGGAGACACATCTGATAGAGAAGAAGCAGTGCAAGGTAAGCGTGCTTGGAAGATTCAATCCACAAGACGTGGCAATAAGGTTAAGGAAGATGACGAACCGCAGAGTCGAAATCCTGGAAATCCAAGAGTTGGGCAACAGCAATGAAGATACCAATCAGAAGCCCGTAGTTACCACAGGATAGTTGCAGATGAGCTGATCCATCTTCTCTTGGGAGTTTGTGTTTAGGAACGTTTATTGATATAAAAAGAGATTTGGAATTCGTTATCCAATTGTAATGGCGCTTTGACAAATTCAATGGAATTGCATATATATCATACAATAACCTGTATTCCGTGCTGAGAGAGCCGGAGGGGAGTGAGGGGAATTACGAGGGTTTGCCCTCTTCGTGTATGAATTGTAAACGTTGATTTTAGCATATATAGATGTAGAAGAATAAGCTCGAATTTTTCAAACATTATGTGTTACCATGACCAGAAGTTATGGATAAAAGGTGTTGTGAAGAAGGGCCACTGCTCTCATTTTTTATTCAGTCCCTTTAAATAGTGGAGTAACTGACTCAGGACCTGCTGGGATCGATCAACTCACTAATCAGATGAGTCTGCAACGCTGCATACCTTTCAGTGTACTCTTGTTCATATCTGGCCATTTTCAGATGAGTCTGCAACTCTGCATGCCTTTCATTGTACTCTTCTTCTCATTATCTCGCTATTTTCATGTCTGGTTTAGGTTGAACCTTGCACCCTAACAAAACATGCATCGTTCACTAAAGACAATTGGATATATTGAAATCTCAGGGTCCATTTGGTTCGTGGGAATAGGGGTTTGGAATCGGAATAAGAATTGCCCATGCCTTTTGGTTGGACAGAATCAGAACCCGATTCCCTTTCCTAGTGGAATGCCATTCCCCCCACTTGAGGGAATGGCCATTCTGATTCCCCCTAGGAATGAGAATCCCATTCTAGCAGAAGACAAGTGACTCCCCCAAAGTCTATTCCTCTTTAACTTGATGCCAAGCCTCCCTCCCTCCATCTCTGTTGGTGCTTCCCCTCTTCCAACGGCTGAACCTTGCAAACTCCGGGGAGGTAAGTCACCACCGATCAATGCTGTTGTTTAGTTTTTCTTTTTCCTCATTTTTAGGTGTTTCTTTTCGTCTCTCTATGCTGGCCCCCTCCCCCAACGGCTGAGCCCTGTCGAGTGTCGTCGCCTCGTCGGACCTCGTTTTCTTCCTTTTTTTTTTTTTTTTTTGACTTTGACATAGGTGACCTGTGACCTTGCAGCTCTCCAGCAACTAATCTAAGCCCATTTCTGGCGAGGTAACAGCCTTCTCTTCTATTTGACGAGGTAATCCACCAACGTTTTTCTCAGACTTCTCGAATGCATTTTTTTCTTCTATTTTTGAACTTTTATTTTCAGTTTTTGTATTGATTTATTGGTGGATGTTGGAAAAGGGAGTTTGCTTGTGTGCTAAGGTGTTCAATATTATTACATAGAAAATAGCATGTCTTCCAATTTCAAATAGAAAACGAAGACAAATTCACAATACCAGAATTATGTGTGAAATGGCCATGATGTGGATTGTTTAATTTAATATGTAGCATTACACTATGTTAAGGTATTTCACAATTAGAAGATATCGGTCAACATCATCAAATAAATATGAAAGGAGGATGGAACGGATTGAATAATAAGCTAACTTTATGGATAGTTTAGCTCAACAAAATGTTTGCCAACTAGAGAGCTAGAGTTAGTGTCTAGTTGTGGTGTTGATGTGTATTATTTTTCAATTGTTTGATTATTTCCTTTTTATTTGGATGTATTGTATGCATTATGTTTCATTGATTTTATATTTCTTTATTCAATTTGACATATTCATAAGTTTTATATTTCTTTATTTAATTTTACATGTTTACAGGTTTTGTTGTCATTTTTTTCTTTTAAAGTTTATGAACTGTTACTTTTGGTTGATGGGATGTCTACCAATGTTGAGAATACCCAATCTAAGCGTGGTAGAGGAAAGAACAAGCGTAAGTGGCTTGATGACGAGGATAAGGCATTGATCGAAAGCTTGCAGGAATTATGTACCAATCCTCAATGGAAATGCGATGGCAACTTTAAAAGTGGTTATATGTTGAAGTTACAGGATATGATTCGTTCAAAGATTTCAAATTGTAGTCTACAGGCGAGTCCCCACATTGAGTCTAGGGTTAAGTGGCTTAAGCAAAAATACTTTGCTATTGTTCAGATGTTAAAAGAAAATGGATGTAAATGGGATGATACGAAGAAGATGATTCGATGTGAGAAGGAGTGGTATGACCGTTGGTGCAAGGTAAATTGTTCATTATTTCTTTATCCTTAATAATTGTATAATTTGTCTTTTGTTTGCTTTAGCTCTTAATGTTGCTTGTGTTGTTTAATATGTTAGGCTCACAAGGATGCAAATGGTCTATATGGCATGAAATTCAAATGGTTTTGGGAGCTTGGTAAGATTTATGACAAAGATAGGGAAATGGGTCAATTAGTTGAAACTTTTGAAGATGATGTGCAATACATAGAAATGGAGGAGGCAGAAAACGATGTTGCACATTTTAGTAGTGATGAGGATAATTTAGGTGAGGAGGGCCAATTAGTGACACTAGTCAGCAAATCAACCACTGCAAGCACAAGTACTAAAAAGAAGAAGAAAGAGCAACAAACACTCAAAGGAAATGAAGCAAAGAAGCAAAGAGCAATGCAACCAATTAATTTGGAGGCACAGTTTTTGACTGCCATAGGTAAATTTGAGTCACTTATGCAAGATATTGGCATCCAACTTAGGACTCTGGCTACTATGATGGCTCATGAGGATGAACGAAAGCAACAACTGATTGATAGGAGCAACAACATTGTGGAGGAGCTAATGAAAATTGAAGGCTTAACTAGTAAGGATGTGTTTAGAATAGCTAACATTCTATCCACTGAGCCACCAAAGCTTAATGTGTTTTCTCAGCTTCCACTTGCAATGAGGAGGGAATATGTGCTTGATCTTCTTTATCCTAGTTTTGATGGATCTACTTCGGCCCAATAGGTGTTATGTGTTGTGCTTATTTCTTATAATATGTGGTTTATTTGGCTTAGATAGTTTGTTGGTGTTATCTTACTATGCCCCTATACTTTTATGTTATCTTATGTTGGACTTAGTTTAGATAGTTTATGGCATTATGTTATCTTATTATGATTATTTGTTTTTTTTTTGTATTATTTATCTTATTTTGTGCTCTTTCTTCATTTTTTTTGTTCTATATTCTCTTTTAACTCTTTATACATGAATTGAGTGTGAAATTATATATCTATTAAAAAACAATAATAAGTCAAAAGTTGAAGTTTTTATCAGGGGCAAAATTGAAATCTCATTTAATTTTGATTTCAACTTCTAAATGAACTAAATAACATCAATAGGAATTCAATTCCAATCCTTGTATGAACTAAATAGGTGCGGGGAATAGGCCATACCAATTTCAATTTCAGGATTCTGATTCTAATTCCGATTGCAAACCAAACAGATCCTTAGTTTGTTAGGATTGTGAAATGGCTTGTTTGTATTATGAATAGTAGTCAACTTGTCATAGGTTAATTAGAGGAATCATGATAAAATACAACACTTATTAAGCCAAGCATGAGAAGCCAAGGGTGCTAGGAGATCATGTTAATAGAGAATCTCTTGAAAGTAATTGTTTCATTCAACAAACAGAAATAAGAGAAGCCAACATACAATAAAAACAAACAGACAGACAACACAGAAAGAAGCAGAAAGCCAGAAACTACTACAGCAGACCAAAGGCACCTAAACCAAAGGGGGAAAAAAGAAGAAAAACAAAGAAAACAGATACTACACTAACAAGCTAACTTATGAGCAACCCCATTTGCACTAGTACAAATGCATGAGAGCGCAAATGAAAGAAATGCAAATTCTTGTTTAATTTTGCTTTGGGTTTTATTTTATTATTCTTCATATTTTAATTTACTTTATTTGTACTATAGTCAAACAAAATAAACTAAAATTTGAAACAAAAATAGATTAGAATTTATACTCAAATCATTTGCATTGCCATGATTTTGCATCAGTGCAAATTTATTTACATTGCAACCGAACACAGCCTTAGATTCAAGCAATAAAACACCAAATCTCTTAAAATTGGTTGGAAGAGCTTATACATGTGACCTTGTTTTTTCTCATTCTAGTACGACCAACTTTATCAGTTTGCTCGAATTGTATTATTGAACCAAACCAACTTATTAAACCCTTTTTCTAACTGACACCTAGTTCATTTTGTTAAATTCTTATTCACAAAAGATATATAAATCGTTAGCCCTTGGCTTGGCCAGAGAAGCCCCAAATCCTCTTCTGCCGTTGAGTTTGCTTTGGTTATGTTTTTGCGGTCGGAATATAAGTACTTTTGATAGAGTAAAGCATATCATGAGGCATCAAATTATATAAGTACTTTTGATTAAGTACTTTTAATCAAGTCCTCAGACGCTTTTATGGCGACAAGTACTTTTTTTTTTAAGTCTGGTTAACGCTGTAAGCATAAAGGAGATTAGTGAAAAGCTCCCTTGTTGATACCCTTTATTTTATTGTCAAACATCAAAATTTCTAAGTGAAATTTTACCTTTATGCGATTCCAAATTTTCAATTGTTGCTTTTTTTTGGCAAAAGAGCATTCTCATTGAGGAGGATATTTCCAAATGTTGCTTTATATCATGGGGGAACTGGGAAGTAACTTGGGACGGGCAGCCCAAGCCCAGTTGCTAAGACTGACTGTAACTATTTTAGAGGGCCAAGGCCCAGCATATAATGCCATTTATGCCGGTCCTTTTTTTTTCGTTTTGTGGTGTTTAAGGGGCTACATGGTTCATGTGAATAAATAAAGAAAATTTAAAGATATTAGAAGGGGGGCCTTACTATATACTCTATCATCGAGGATCTAAGTATTGATATGATATACCAGGTATCATCCTCAAAGATCACCGAAATGCAAATTTTTAAGGGTTTGAAATTTTTAATGATTTTAGTCGTTAAATATAAATGTCACAAGGCCCCATGTAAAATATAAACAAAAAAAAAAGAGCATTGGTCACCCAAAATGTCCAATACACATTTGTGTGCATTAGGCCATGTTTGGGAGTGCTTAAAAATACGTTCTTATTTGGGCCGAGACTCTACCATTAAGCACTTATTGGTGCTTGGGAAATAAGCCTGAAATAAGTGTTTACTTTAAAAATAAGGGCTTAATTTTTAAGCCCAAATTTTCAGCTTTTTTAAGTGCTTATACAATAAACACTTATTCAATTTTTTCTTCCAAAATAATCCCTAGTTGAATTATAAAATACCACTTATAAATTTATCCTTAGTTAAACTTTATAATTGTACTTTCATAAAAGTACTTTTGTTTAAAAATTTGAAAAAAAAAATGAAGGACAAAGTAGTCACAAATGCTTGTTTAAGTGCTTATTGGAGAAAAAGACTACCAAACATCCAATATGAAATAAGTGCACTTGAAAAAGTTGGGTGTCAAATACAAATAAGTGCTTATTCGAATAAGCACTTGCTTTTAAGCACTTATTTTTTAACATAAGCACTCCCAAACATGGCCTTAGTGTATCAATACTTCAAATCTTGTAAGAAAGTAGAAAATGGGAAATAGGAAAAAGGATCAAAACCTAACTTTTTTTTTTACTTCATGGGGCTACACAAATGGGAATAGCCCATCCCCTGAAGCCCCCAACACTGGTAGTAGGTAACAATGAGGTGTTTGGCAAGTCTTTTGTGTGGTTTTTGGACTTTTTCAAAGCTTTAAATATTAAAATTTGGTCTTTTCTATTTTGCACTAAAAGATAGGAAGTTAGGGAAACCTATGCCCTAAAAAGCTCATGGAAGATTAAGAAAGCCAAAAATCTAGCTTCAAATGAAGCTTCTTGCCTTTTTGCAACTAAAGCTAAAATCTTTCATTTAACAATTTTGTAGATCATGATGATAGACTAGGATACTTACCAAAGGGCCTAGATCTTTAAAGACGAGACCCTCAAAACTCATTACATCTTTTGGCATTCTAGGTTAATGACATCTTAATTGATACACCAAATGTTAAGAGTTAGGAGGAAAGCAAAAAAAAAAAGACTATTACCCTTTGAGTTGTGCAAAACACAAGTTTTTGCATATTACAATACTTTAAACACCTAGATATTGTTTGCATTTGTGGTTCTCCAAATCCTAAAGTTGGTAAAAACACTAAAAAAAATGAACCCGAATTGTGAATATGGTAGGATTGGTCCCCTCATTTCGTTCTAGTACAAAAACCTCCCTTTATACTACTTTCAATGTGGTTTAATTCACCATTTGGAAAGATGGATGGAATAAGGAGAAATCGGTGGAAAGTCTGGCAAGGTATCTTGAAAAATAGAGGATGGAAGGTTCGGTGGTTCCATCAAGCTACGGTCCTTGGTTGAGGGCTGAAGTTGGGAATGAGGAAGATAGATATGTGAACGCAAGCAGAAAAGAAAAGTGGCAGAAGAACTCAAATTCTAGAACTCAGAGTGAGGACAATAGTGACAAGCCAACTTGTGAGTTGCATCCAACTGGAAACATAAAAGAGGGGCCTCAAAGATAATCTGAAAACAACTAGAGAGAGAATGCAAGTGAACAATCAGGGGAAAATCTGAATCTCAATTTAGTGAGAACACCTGTAAAGAGAAAACTGTTGCATGAAAGAGATGGAGATGGAGATGAACCTCTGTTGGCCGGAAATGAGAGAGATACTCAGAATTTCAATGTGATCCTATCGTTAGTGTCCTTTTTTCCGGCGGGGATCAACTTTCAAGAAAGGGGAGAGGTGGTCATTCAGAGATGGTAAATCCTTTCCAACAAGCTTTACCTTTCCTATCTATACTAGCAGCGAGGAGCAGTCGGGCCTGTGCTCAAGCTATATGAGAAAGGGAAAAACTAACCTTACACTCCAAGCATTACCAAAAGTAGGTAGTGAGGTGGATGGTTTGATGTACAAGGAAGGTGGACAGACTTCTAGGTCTAAAAATCAGTTTGAAGACAATTCTGATGCATCGTCCAAGAATGAGATTACGTTTGGAAAAGAGATAGAGGCAAGGTTAATAGAAGACTAATCAATTCAGGTTGTGGATCTGGGTTTGGGGAGTCAGATTGTATCAAATAAACCAAACCCACCTAATCACTTTACTGGAGACTGCTCGAATTCTTTCTCTCTTGGAAATAGCAAATCAAAAAGGGAGAGGGTGGAGGGTTTAAAGGATGGTGTCGAAATGGCCTAGAAGAAATAGAAGAAATCCAAAGGGACTAAGCTAGAGAGTTCAAATGGCATAGAAGATGAGGTGTTGAGTTTCTTCAAGTGCGATCTAGAATATCAAATGCCCATAAGCTCATATCTATTAGGTTCTCCACTAAGAAAAGGTACCCTAGAACCCTAACTTTGACTTTAGTTTTGATGGTGTGTGTGATAGAACAAGAATTAGAAGAAATTGATATCTTTCTATTGAGAAAGTAGTACATATATATACAACCTTGTAGATACTAAAAAGGAAGAATCATACAGCCTTGCAGATACAAAAAATGAAGAAAATCATACAGTCTTGTAGATACTAAATAGGAAGAAAATCAAAGAAAGAATAATTCCTATAATCAAGCTATTCCTAATTGGGCTAATACTACATATATACAGCCTATAATTTCGTAACACTTCCCCTCAAGATGGAGCATAGATGTCAATCATGCCCAACTTGTTACAAATATAAGAAATCCGAGCTCCATTAAGAGCTTTTGTAAAGATATCTCCTAACTGCTC